CACTTTCAATGGCTGCCCCGCCGCTCTCCCAGCTCCCAGCTCTTTAAAAAAAAAAAAAAAGCCCCGTCACTGACTGCTGCCGGGGGGTGGGGGGGGATCCCCGCTATCTCCCACTGTCTTCCACTGCATGGGGGGCTCTGCCACAAGCCCCCCGACCCCCGCCCACTCTCCCAGCCCCCCCATGGCTGGCCTGCCCACCCCATCTCTCGTCCTTTTAAAAAAAAAAAAAATCCCCAACTCACCGGCTCCTGCCAGGGGGGAGCCAATCCCCACTGCCCTCCACTGCATGGGGGGGCTCTGTCACAAGCCCCTAGAAGCCCTGCAGCCCCTGCAGCAGCTGGTGAGTCCAGGGTGTTTTGTTTTATTTTGTTTTTAAGAGCTGGCAGCTGGGACAGCAGCTACTCCCACCCTTCCTGGACTCCCAACTCACAGATGTTCTTACCCTTCAGTCCCACTCTTACTAATCTCCTGAGCTCGTTGAAGTTGGCCTTCTGAATGTCTAGCACTTCTGCCCTACTCGTTATCTTTCTCACCTTTCGCTGGATAGTGAATCCTATCAACAGGTGGTCACTATCTCCTAGGTTACCTTGTACCTGCAGATCCCCCACCCAAGTTCTCCCCTGTGGTCACCACCAAGTTGAGTTAGGCATTTCCCCTAGTGGGACTACATACCTCCTGTGTTAGGTGTAGGTCCTGTATGCAGGTTAGGAGTCTACATGAATGGGCAGACCTGGCTGACTGCTCCTCCCAGCAGATGTCTGGGTAATTAAAGTCACCCATGACAACCATGTCCTTTGAGCGTACTGCCTTTGAGAGCTGTCTCGGGAATTCTAGGTCTAGCTCGTCCTCTTGGCGAGGGGGTCTGTAGTAGACCCCACTACCAAGTCCCTTTCACCTCTACCCCCTTGTAATCTGTCCCATAGGACTTCAATCTGCCCTTCTTCTGTTTCCATTTAAAAAAAAAAAAAGCCTATAATTACAGATGTATAAAGTTCCTTAACGTATAGAGCAACCCCCCTTTTTTCCCCAATCTATCCTGCCTGTATAGCCTGCAGCCCTCAATGCCCACTGCCCAATCATGGGTAGGGTCCCACCAGGTTTCTGTTAGCCCAACCAGGTCAAAATCTTTGTCTACAAGCCAGATTGCAAGTTCCTCCTGCTTATTTCCCATACTCCTAGCATTAGTATAGAGACACCTAAATCCCCCATTAGGTGCCCTTAGTATTCCCCTATCCTGATGCTTAGTGGGCCCCTTAGTACTTACCCGGTCTATTTCAGCATGCAGTTCATGGCTTGTCCTTCCTAGTTTCACTCTGTCTTCAACATCCCTGTCCCCCAACAAAGCCAGTTTAAAGCTCTACATAGGAGGTCTGCCAACCTGTAATAGAACAGACTCTTACCTTTTGGAGAGAGATGTAGAGCATCATGTCCCAGCAAGGCCCTATCCTGGAAGTAGGGATCATAGTCTAGGAAACCGAACCCAGCACAGTGGCACCAACTCCAAAGCCATGAGTTGCCCTCACCAATGCAGTTGCTGTGGTGCTGGCTGTGACCGCTGACCAGGAGGAGAGATGAGAAGACCACTTGTACCCCCAAACCTCTAAGCCTGGCTCCCAGAGCCATGTAATAAGTCATGACCCGACCCAGACTACTCCAAGCCACATCATTCGTTCCCACATGGATGAGGACTATGGGATAGTAGTTGGTGGGCCTGATTAGGTCTGGAAGCCTTGCTGTGACATCCCAAATCTGAGTTCTGGGCAGGCAGCATACCTCCCATACTGTGGGATCCAGGTGACAGATGGCTCCCTCAGTTCCTCAGGAGGGAGTTGCCCATCTCAATGACCCGACTTCTCCTCTGGCTGCCCAGTTGTTCCTCAGCCTGTCTGGTGGTAGCTGTGGATGTGGCCTCCATTGCTGCACTCTCTCCCAGTGATGCCAGGGCCTCATATCTGTTCCCCAGATGCACTGGGGGAGTCGCTCCAGCAGTGCAACATCTAGTTCTGTAATGTCTAGTTCTAGAGGTAACA